CCTTAATATGCGAGATGTGCTCATTGTAGATGGTCTCTGAAAGTCCCTTGATATCCTGTGTGCGGGCTTCAAAGTAGTCTTTTTCTTTTTTTAAATGGTTCAGCACCTCGGGGTTTTTCCGCTCATCATCACGCAACCAGAAGTAGGGATCGTTCCGTTTGATGGGTGGATCAATGGTGTCCGGTCCTCGATCCTGGCCCTCGACCTTGCCGAAAAGCACAGTGTGGTCCTTTAAAGCTGCAACCGGGGGTTTGGAATCAGCCATGGTGATGATGATGGATAGATAAAGAAAGGCGACAGATTTTTCTCAGATAACGTAAAAAAAAAAGCTATATGGCGAAAATGGAAATAACTATAATAAAGACTTCACGGGGAAAGACAAAAGGATAGTAGCAACTGCACACAAGATCAACGAACGATTCAGCAATTCAGAAGGATAAAAAAGGAAATGACAAAGTGAGTTGTCATAATGCGATGCTCAAAATGATCCCATTTCCGTATATAAATAAATTCGTATACCCTATACAAACTAGGCAAAACTCTGTTGAGCCCACTGTATTTCAGAGTGCATATCACATAGCAACATTTGGAAAAAGAACAAGGGAACTACAAATATGTACATCAACACATACATCCTTTTGTCAAAAAATGCGCGCCTCTTTCAGGTGGAAGGGAAGGTTAGAACCAGTGAATTCGGTTAAGACTAAATCGAGAGAAGGTTTTGCCAAAAGCTTTTCCACTTTTCAAAAACAGACACCAAGGGGTAAAGTATCCCCTCACTCTAGAGGCATGGTAAGAGTGTTGTAAGCTTGAAAATAAATATCGAAACAGCATTGCCTTTTTAGCTCTTAAATCGCGTCACATGGTCGTAGATGGTAACCTGCAGGTAATCCTTACAGTGGTATATCGTGCGATTGCTGCTATCGCCTGGAGTGGGTGCCTTTGGGTCCATCACCATAATCTTTCGATCACGTTTATGCTTCATGAGCAGACCAAACCGGCTTTCGGTGATGACCTGGAAAGAGGTGCTGTTATTATAATACAAGGTGTGTGTTTTCCAGTTATAATAGCTAAGATCACTACGCTTCGGTAGCAACCGCTTTGTCCCGTCGAAGTACTCCTCGAAGTTGTCGGTGATAAAGCGGTGTGCGAGGTCGATGTAGGCGGAGACCTCCTGCCCGTTGACGTAGTCCCGGATGAAGAGGATCGTCGCGAGCTTGCCCGTCCGCACGAGCTCCTCGCGCTTGGCGATGGCGTCGAGCAGGGTGCCCGGCTCCAGCCGGCGGGTCGCGCTCAGGATGGCCTCGGCGCTCTCCCGCCGCTTCTCCGGCCCATGCCGGGCGATCAGCCTCGCCGCCTCGAACTCGTCCCGGCTGAGGAAATCCTTGCCCTTATAGCCCAGCTCCACCACTCGCCGGGCGGCCTCGCGGTCCTCGAGATAGAACAAATCCTCAGGCGTCACCTGCTGGTCCAGGTACTCCTCGTAGGACGCGAAGTCGAGGATGTTACGGATGTAAAGGTCACTATCCATTCGGCCTTGTTACAACGGGTCTTCCTCGCCTTATCTCCCAGGGCCTGTGGTCAGTGTTACGGATACTACTGCGATGGGGTTGGGAGTAGGTGGGCTTTCTGTAACAAACCCTCATAGACCCCTCCCCCCTGCACCTTTCCAGCCCTCTCTGTTACAATGGACGGAATCCCCCTCCCCAGGGCTCTTTGTTTTTGTGTGTGTGGGGGGTCCTTCCTAATATTGTTATTTCTCCCCTTTGAAAGCTATGTCTTCCCGTATAGGGATCTACCGCATGTATTTTGAGATAGGATGACAGCGGATGTACACTTCTAACAACAACAAAAACACAAGAAATGCCCCTTGTTCAAACACAGGCCCCGGAGAGAATGAGGAAACCCTTGAAAGAACCGTTTTTCAACCATAGACATTTTTATTTTGCGATGTCCAAAATCCTTCTCATCAGCCCTTTGACAGGGGCTCTAAAGTAGGGATTGTGTGCAGAACGTTTTATTCCTCTTTTTGTATGCAGTATAAGGGCTCACTAATTTATACGTTTCGAAAAACTGAAAGACACCCCAAAAGACATTCGGACGATTGCTGCGGAAGCGATACCAATAGAGCTGTCATTACTGTTCCATTTGATAAAATCAGTATTCATTCATAGATATTGGAAGTTTCCAACAGGCATCACACCTTGATAAGTTTTTTCTGTTTTGTTGTTTGATATCATAATTCAAGAGTCACCAAAGCGATATGCGAGTGGCACAAACCCACAACGACATTGCCACAGTTTTTCCCCCATTACATTCTCCTTTTCGATTGCATCTATCTACATATTGATAAAGATGCTTATTAATAATGTTTTAATACAGTAAAGAAATAGAAACGGAAAAATTGATAGTTTAGCCATTGAACGCACGGATGCCAATGAATAAATTAGGAACACTATGAATAAAAAAATACCAAGAATATAATCATCCATCAGTTCGAGGAGTGATAACGCATTCGGCTATTTGAAAGATCGTCGCTAACCCACAGAGGCCAGCG